CCCGTTTGGAGTCCGCCTTCCTTTTGGTTTGCGGCGCCCTTTGGGTTATCGGCGCCATATTGGTTTTCGGCGCACTTTCGGTTTCCGGCGCCCCTTTGATTTCCGGAATTCTTTTTTGTTGTCGTCGTTTTTTTTTTTGGTTTTCGGCGCCCCGTCGGTTTTCGGCGCCCGTTTAGTTTTCGGAGCCCTTTTTGAAGTTTGGCGCCCTTTTGTTTTGCGGCGCCCTTTTGGTATTCGGCGTTCTTTTGGTTTTCGGCGCTTTGTTGGGCTTCGACGCCCGTTTGGTTTTCGGCGCCTTCTAGCCACAAAGGGGGAGGGTGTGGGGGTTTGGCACGGGGGGGTCCAGAGGGAACGGGGGCAGCCAAACCCCCTCCCTCCTTTCGGGAAAGGAGGGGGGTAGCTTCTGCGGGGCGGAAGCAAGGGGGAGAGGGGTGATGGGGGCTTCCGGCAGGACGGGCTCAAATGGAGGGGGGGTAGCTAAGCCCGGTAAGGAGTGAAACCGAGAAGCGAGATTGTTTGGGCCCTCATCTTCCTCCTCCTCCTCCTCCGCCTCTTCCTTCTCTTCCTCGCCGGGAGGCGAGATCAATGAACTTTTCTTCGCTCGCTCGCTCGACTATCACCTTCCTCGTCCTCCTCCTCGTCCCCCTCCGCCTCCCCGCCTCCTTCATCCGCCTCTTCTTTTCGGTTCTCGTATCTCGAGGCCGGTCGGAAGGGCGGGCCGGGCGTTTCGCCTGAGATACCTCCATCATTTTTGAGTTTGACGCGTCAAATTTGCAACAGTTTCTAATTATCCCGGCAAAGCAACCTAACAGCGATGTGTAGGAGCATATTTGGAAGCATTCCCCTTAAGATTCGGATGAGAATCCAGTTGTAGAATTCTGCTGTTCTCGCAGTCGTAGTCGCATTCGCGATGACAGTCGCAGTGGCAACGGCAGTCGCAGTCACAGCCTCAGCCTCAGCCTCAGCCTCAGCCTGCCTCAGCCTCAGCCTGCCTCAGCCTCAGCCTCAGCCTGCTTCAGCCTCAGCCTCAGTCTGCCTTCAGCCTCGGCCTCAGCCTCAGCCTGCCTCAGCCTCAGCCTGCATCAGCCTCAGCCTCAGCCTCAGCCTGCCTCAGCATCAGCCTGCCTCAGCCTCAGCCTCAGCCTGCCTCAGCCTCAGCCTCAGCCTGCTTCAGCCTCAGCCTCAGTCTGCCTTCAGCCTCGGCCTCAGCCTCAGCCTGCCTCAGCCTCAGCCTGCATCAGCCTCAGCCTCAGCCTCAGCCTGCCTCAGCATCAGCCTCAGCCTCAGCCTCAGCCTGCCTCAGCCTCAGCCTCAGCCTGCTTCAGCCTCAGCCTCAGTCTGCCTTCAGCCTCGGCCTCAGCCAGCCTCAGCCTCAGCCTGCAGCCTCAGCCTCAGCCTCAGCCTGCCTCAGCATCAGCCTGCCTCAGCCTCAGCCTCAGCCTGCCTCAGCCTCAGCCTCAGCCTGCCTCAGCCTCAGCCTCAGCCTCAGCCTCAGCCTCAGCCTCAGCCTCAGCCTCAGCCTCAGCCTCAGCCTCAGCCTCAGCCTCAGCCTCAGCCTCAGCCTCAGCCTGCCTCAGCCTCAGCCTCAGCAGCCTCAGCCTCAGCCTCAGCCAGCCTCAGCCTCAGCCTCAGCCTCAGCCTCAGCCTCAGCCTGCAGCCTCAGCCTCAGCCTCAGCCTCAGCCTCAGCCTCAGGCCTTCAGCCTCGGCCTCAGCCTCAGCCTGCCTCAGCCTCAGCCTGCATCAGCCAGCCTCAGCCTCAGCCTGCCTCAGCATCAGCCTGCCTCAGCCTCAGCCTCAGCCTGCCTCAGCCTCAGCCTCAGCCTGCTTCAGCCTCAGCCTCAGTCTGCCTTCAGCCTCGGCCTCAGCCCTCAGCCTCAGCCTGCATCAGCCTCAGCCTCAGCCTCAGCCTGCCTCAGCATCAGCCTGCCTCAGCCTCAGCCTCAGCCTGCCTCAGCCTCAGCCTCAGCCTCAGCCTCAGCCTGCCTCAGCCTCAGCCTCAGTCTGCCTTCAGCCTTGGCCTCAGCCTCAGCCTGCCTCAGCCTCAGCCTGCATCAGCCTCAGCCTCAGCCTCAGCCTGCCTCAGCCAGCCTGCCTCAGCCTCAGCCTCAGCCTGCCTCAGCCTCAGCCTCAGCCTCAGCCCAAGCCTGCAGCCTCAGCCTGCAGCCTGCCTCAGCATTCAATGTGGCCTGGGAACTCGAAGAACCGAAGTGGCTTACGAAGTGGCCTACAGTTGGCTCCGGGCATTCAAAATCATGCCCAGGAATGGAGTTCTGGGAACTCGAAGACCACGAAGTGGCCTACAGTTGGCTCCGGGCATTCAAAATGTGGCCCGGGAATGGAGTTCTGGGAACTCGAAGAGCACGAAGTGGCCTACAGTTGGCTCCGGGCATCAAAATGTGGCCCGGGAATGGAGTTCTGGGAAGTCGAAGAGCACGAAGTGGCCTACAGTTGGCTCCGGGCATCCAAAATGTGGCCCGGGAATGGAGATCTGGGAAGTCGAAGAGCACGAAGTGGCCTACAGTTGGCTCCGAGCATCCAAAATGTGGCCCGGGAATGGAATTCTGGGAAGTCGAAGAGCACGAAGTGGCCTACAGTTGGCTCCGAGCATCCAAAATGTGGCCCGGGAATGGAGTTCTGGGAAGTCGTAGAGCACGAAGTGGCCTACAGTTGGCTTCGGGCATTCAAAATGTGGCCCGGGAATGGAGTTCTGGGAGGTCGAAGAGCACGAAGTGTGTGACTGTTTGCTTAAAACGAGCCCAGCCCTGAGCCCGGCCCTCGCTGTCCGGATGCCGCCCAGACCTCCCTTCTGAGTCATCAGATGCTTTCTTTTGACACCACTAGAAACCTATCAGTCTTCGCTGTTAGGTAAAAAGGGTGGAGGGCGGGTCGATTTCAACATGTGGCTCTCTCCTTAGCGCCGCGCGCATTTGTTTTGTTGCATTGTCCTTTCGATTGGTTTGAAAGAAACAGACAGAGAGAGAGGAAACAAACAAAAGGAGCGATAAAAAACAGAGAAACAGAGAGAGAGAGAGAACAAAAAAAAAGAGTTTTACTGATTGGGGACAGGTCGTTTTCAAGATGTGGCCCTCGCCGTAGCACCGCGCACATTCGTTTTTAAGCAGTACACGAGTTTCACTGATGGAGGGCGGGTCGTTTTCAAATTGCGGCTTTCTCTCTCTCTCTCTTTCTCTCTTTCTCTTTTGTTGTTCTCTCTCTCTCTCTTTCTCTCTCTCTCTCTCTCCCTCTCTTTCTCGCTCTCTCTCTCCCTCTCTTTGTTTGTCTCTCTCTCTCTCTTTCTCTCGCTCTCACTTTTGTGTTTTTTGATTTCTCTCTCTCTCTCTCTCTGTCTTTTTGTTGTTTGTTGTTTTGTTCTCTCTCTGTATATATGTGTATATATATTTATGTATATATACATATATATATATAGCGCCGTGCGTGCTCGTCACTAGAAGTTGCAAGAGTTACACGGATGGACGGATGGAAGGCGGTTTCCTTTTCTTCAAAACGTGGCTCTCGCCGTAGCGCCACGCACATTCGTTTTGAGAGCTTGTTGCAGCAATATCAAGAATTCTCATGGCTAATTTCCCGGAAATTCCCTACCTAGGCTCTGCCTAGAAGGGTTCTTACTCTCTAGCTTAAAGGGGCCGGGCAGTGGAAAGCGCCCCGGGCGATTCCCCCAGTCCCCGCCCCGCGGTTCCCCCAGTTGCGCCCCCTGGGTTCACCCAGCTTAGCTTAGTTTAGCTTGGCTTAGCTTAGCTTAGCTTAGCTTATCATCTTAGCTTAGCTTAGCTTTGCTTTGCTTTGCCAACCCTGGCTTAGCTTAGCTTAGCTTAGCTTATATCATCTTTGCTTAGCTTAGCGCAGCTTAGCTTAGCTTAGCTTGGCTTAGCTTAGCTTAGCTTAGCTCAGCCTAGCCTAGCCTAGCTTAGCTTAGCTTAGCTTAGCACAGCTTAGCTTGTCTTAGCTTAGCTTAGCACAGCGCAGCGTGGCGCAGCGCAGCATTAGCACATCATAGCATAGCATAGCATAGCATAGCATAGCATAGCATAGCCAAGCATAGCATAGCATAGCATAGCTCTGCATAGCATAGCATCTATGCATAGCATAGCATCGCATAGCATAGCATGGCACGGCATAGCATAGCATTGCTTAGCGTAGCGCAGCGCAGCATAGCATAGCACAGCATAGCATAGCATAGCATAGCACAGCATAGCGCAGCATAGCATAGCATAGCATAACATAGCGCAGCATAGCATATCATAGCATAGCCTAGCATAGCATAGCATAGCGCAGCATAGTATAGCATAGCATAGCATAGCGCAGCATAGCAGAGCATAGCATAGCGCAGCATAGCATAGCATCGCATGTGGATGTAGGTGTATGTGTAGGTGTAGATGTATATGTAGATGTAGATGTAGGTGTAGATGTAGGTGTAGATGTAGATGTAGATGTGAGTCTCGCTGTTGATGTTGATGTAGATGTAGATGCAGGTGTAGATGTACATGTAGTTGTTGGTGTAGATGTAGATGTTGCTTTCCTAAATGCTCCAACTCCTAGGTAGGGTCGCACTGGGATAATTGTGTTTTGTCACGATGTCAGATTGTCAGAGCGCAACAGGTACGTTGATTCATGGTGTCGAAGTCCCAAAAATCGTGGACGTGGTACGGCTCAGGATCGTTAAAACGCAACAGACACAGTAAATCGCGAAGTTGAAGTCCCAGGAATGGTGGTCTGGCACAGGGTTTGGAAGGCTGTTTTTTCTCGCAACATGTTTGATTGATCTTGGGTTCACTGGTCTTCCTCCTCCTCCTCCTCCCCCTCCTCCTCCTCCCCTTTTCCTTCACTGCCCCTCCCGCCGTCATCCTGACTTCCCTTCGTCCTCCTCCGTCTCTTCCTCCTCCACCTCTTCGTCGTCCTTGTTCTCGGTTTCCTTCTCCTCCTCCTCCTCCTCCTCCTCCTCCTCCTCCTCCTCCCCCTCCTCTTCTGTATGCCCCCGAAGGTGGAGAGGGAACGCAGCGTGTCCCCCGCGCCTTGTCGCGATACGAAGTCGCCGCGCGGCCCGGACCCCGTGAGGTCGGTGGCGCTGGGCCGACTGGGGGCCGTGGAGCGAGGGAGGAGGGGGAGGAGAGAGGCAGGGAGGAGAGAGGCAGGGAGGACGAGGAGGATGAGGAGGAGGAAAAGGGAAACGAGGACGAGGACGAGGACGACGAGGAGGTGGAGGAGGAAGAGGCGGAGTAGGACGAAGGGAACACAAGATAACGGCGGGAGGGGCAGTTAGGGAGGAGGGGAGGAGGAGGACGAGGACGAGGAGGAGGAGGAAGTAGAGGAACATATGAATCATACTATTAATAGCAATACTAATAACACTCATACTACTGATAATAATACAAGTAGGAATGACAATCATGATAGTAGTAATAAACATGAAACTAATCATCATACGAATAATCATGATACTAATAATAATAATAATGATACGACGGGTACCAATAATTACACTCACACGAACGATACGAATAATAGCGTTACGAATGCCAATCAAGAAACATATGAATAATAAACAAATTATCCCAGTGCGACCCTACCTAGGAGTTGGAACCCCTAGGAAAGCAGCATTAGTAGTAACAGTAACGCTAAGCTAAAGCTAAGCTAAAGCTAAGCTAAAGCTAAGCCACAGCTAAGCTAAAGCTAAGCTAAAGCTAAGCTAAAGCTAAGCTAAGCTAAAGCTAAGCTACAAAGCTAAAGCTAAGCTAAGCTAAGCTAAAGCTAAGCTAAGCTAAAGCTAAGCTAAAGCGCTAAGCGCTAAACGCTAAGCGAAAAGCTAACCGAACGCTAAGCTAAAGCTAAGCTACAGCTAAGCTAAAGCTAAGCTAAAGCTAAAGCTAAAGCTCCCAGGGGACTGGGGGGAACCGCGGGGCGGGGACTGGGGGAACCGCCCGGGGCGCTTTGCACTGCCCGGCCCCTTTAAGCTAAGAGAGTAAGAACCCTTCTAGGCAGAGCCTAGGTAGGGAACTAATGTTATTAAGAAGAGCAAGAACAAACAATTATCCCAGTGCGACCCTACCTAGGAGTTGGAACCCCTAGGAAAGCAGCATTAGTAGTAACAGTAACGCTAAGCTAAAGCTAAGCTACAGCTAAGCTAAAGTTAAGCTAAAGATAAGCTAAAGCTAAGCTAAAGCTAAGCTAAAGCTGAGCAGCAGCTAAGCTAAAGCTAAGCTACAGCTAAGTTAAATCTAAGCTAAAGCTAAGCTAAAACTAAGCTACAGCTAATCTCAAGCTTAGCTAAAGCTAAGCTAAAGCTAAGCTAAACGCTAAGCGAAAAGCTAAGCGAAACGCTAAGCTAAAGCTAAGCTACAGCTAAGCTAAAGCTAAGCTAAAGCTAAGCTAAAGCTAAGGCTAAAGCTCCCAGGGGACTGGGGGGAAACGCTCCCAGGGGACTGGGGGAACTGCCCGGGGCGCTTTCCATTGCCCGGCCCTTTCAAGCTAGAGAGTAAGAACCCTTCTAGGCAGAGCCTAGGTAGGGAAATATGAAGAGGCGGAGTAGGAGGAGGAGGAGGAGGAGGACGAGGAGGAAAACCATTGCCTCTCCTACGACGGGTGGGGCCCGCCACGGGCGCGTGGGCCGCGCCATCGGATCGAGGAAGAAAGCCACTGCCTCTCCTACGCTGGGGGGGGGTCCGCCATGGGCGCGCGGGCCGCGCCATGCGATCGTGGGCCACCCCGCGGCTGGGGGGCGGGGCTTAGGCGCGCAATTTGGCCGTTGTCCTGGCGCCGAGGCGCCCGAGGGCTTGGCGGTGGCAGCCGCGTTGCCAGGACGACCAGGCCACGTGACAAGGCTTGGCACCGACGGCTGCGTGAGTGTCCGACTCAAATTCGCCTGCTTTTTCGAGCGATTGCAGGGCGATGTCTTCTTCAGGGGCATCATTCCCGACAGCAGGCAGAGATGGGAAGGCCTACCGCAAGTTCGGCGGATCGGCGGGCACATGTGACTGCATTTCATGCAACAGGGCGACGCTTAAATTCAAATGGAATTGCACATGGCGTGGCAAACATTGGAAGACCAGAGCTGCATCAGCATAGAAGTGAACGAGCACCACGTACATCGAACCGCCTGATGGCCCGAACATATTCAAAGAGTTCAAGCACACGGCGGGGCAGCGCATGGACAAGGTTGCCCATGCGGTTCTAGCAGGTAACGCCATGGGGACTGACACTTCCAAGCTTTCGAGCTTTTCTTCTTGTGTGAAGTTCCAGCAGTTGTCGACGAGACTGACCCACTTGCAGCTGCAGTCTCTGCGCAAAGAAAGGACGCCGTGGAGGCCAAGATAGCGACAAGAGAAGACGCCAGAAGAAGCCGCCAGCCGAGGAGCTGGAGCTCGCAGCTCGATGCGCATCTCAATAGAATGTCGCCAAACATTGAAGACGCAAAGGAGTGCATGAGCCACCTGCGGATGCCGACCAAGTGCCAGCCCGCAAAGACAACCGAGACACGGCATAACCCGCATCATCCTGTTCAGGCGCGCATGTGCAAGCGATCGCGGTTTACCTATCCAAGCTGTTGGACAAGCAGATGGCTGGGGGCGGCTCAACAGAGGAAGAACCCCGCCGGCGCGATGATCACCCAGCAGCGCAAGATGCGCGCGCGGCGCGAACATATTCGGGACATGCAGGCTTTGGCATGGGCTCAGTAATCTTCTTGGGTTGACCCCGGCGGCGGCGGGCCGCCGATCGATAGGCCCTGGGGAACTGGGTCATCGCAAGCATTCCTTCCGCTGTCCTCAGGCCCCATCGCCCGCGACAACCGATGCCTGCGCTCATGGCCGAGCGCCCCCGCCGATCCGGACCGATCGGCGCGCGGGGGGGCATCGGCGCGAGCTGCAGAAGCAGGAGGCGCACTGAACTCAGGCGGATTGCCATGAGGAGTGCCAGAACTATTTGGAGAGCTCAGAGCCTACGCCAGCAAGTCGGCAGCGCCGAGTCGAGCACGCTTGGTTGGAGCACGCTCAGGATCAGCCTCCAAGGATATTCGAAGGACGGCAAGGGTGGACAAGTAGTTCGGGGTGCTGGCGTGGCTGGATCGGCGGGCGCTGAGGCACCGTTGCTTCCCGCGGCTCTCTCGTCGCAGCCCTCCGCGCCTCCGCCCGGCGCGCTGTTGGAGGTGCCGTCGCCGACTTTCCCTGCCGCTAGGTCAATCGATCCTCGTCATCGCGAGCCTCGCGAATGTCCTTCGGCACCATAGATGCACGGAGAGTAGCGCGCGCTGGCGACGCCTGCGACGTGGGAACCGGCTGCCCAAGTAGGACTGGATGGAGTAAGTTTAATCCAAGCTTTTGCGGGCCACTGCGAGCCCGCATGATGCGAGATGGGGCTGGTCGCCATTTCCCGGATACCTCGGGAGATAGCGCTTCGGAAGACCCAATAGCATTTGGCCGCTGGCATGGGCGGGGGCGAGCTGGAGGTCAGGGGATCGATGTCGGCAAAGTCTCGCGCGTGCATCGCGAGGGTCAGAGCGATGAGGTTGCGCTCGCAGCGCGGGGTTACCGCGGCAATCTCCAGGTCGATAACGAGCCCAACGACGAAGCTAAACTGCGCGGGGCACATGGGCCCGCCACCTCCAGGCGCGGACTGCAAAAGTGCCTGCAGCTTCGGCGGCAGAGAGCGGGCGACGGAGACTGGCGCGCCACTTTATCTGATCTGCCTGGGGAGCTGGACTTGCGTACTTCGACGCGCGACGCGGACGAGTAGACAGCGCCATGTGATGTTCCAGTCAAGCGCATTATTTGCACAGACGCCAGCTACAAGCAGAGCGTCCTCCAAGCCAGATTTCTTCGGCGCGGTGGTTCCCAGTTGCGACGGACGCCCGAATATCGGCTCGCATTGCGCGCGCGGCGCCGCGGCCGATTCTTCGCGCGCCGTCGATGCGTGGCAGGGAGCGGCCCGCAGCACGACACATTTGATGATTGGCGTGCTCTGGGCCATCGCTCTCGGGCAGAGGCGCGCCCCCATTGAGTGCCGCGTTGGCGACCAGCCAGCCGCGCGTGCTGCCCGCGTGCTGTCACTCCCAAGTAGGGGCGCGCAGCGCAGCTGGCGGCCATGCTGCGCATTGCCTTTCAGGGGCTCCAGGACATCCATTGCGCCGCGGTGGCCCACGTTCGTGGGCGCACAGATGAACCGTGGAGGGAACTCGCTTACTACCACCCAAGACGGAAGGCAGGTATCGTGACATCGCCAACTGTAGTCAGCACCCCATCGCGTTCGAGTGGAGTTGGCCGCGGGCTGCGGCAGTCTAGCGAGGCGGTTGGAGCAGCTCGCCTGGGACTTCGGGGGGGCGGCGTTATTTTCGAGATGGCGAAGCAGACAGGAAGGGCTGGAGAAGCTCGCGACACCAGCACAGGGAAACGCGGATCCAGAGAAGGCCCCGCGAGTCAAACTAGCTAGAGCATGCTTCAACATGGAGTCCTATATGTCGGCTGCGGTTGCTGACGACAGCGACGAGGTCACCGCGCTTTCCAGGAAGAGAAGCAAAGGCAAAGGGGAGGGCGCGCCGCCAGCACCTGGCCAACCTCAGCACCTACGTCTACAGTGGGCGTAGTGCGGTCTGCGCATCATTGAGCGCGAGGAATCGCGCACCTCGGCATCGACGAGATACCGCGACGGCCTTTTCGTTATGTCCAAAGACCCGGCGACAGGAAATTTGGGCTGCCCGCCGGTGGTCAACGCCAGAGAGTTTCGCGCTTATGGAAGCAGATGGGGCTTTTTATTCCAAATATGCAGATTTTCGGGTGATGCACGGGTCGCCCAAGATATTCTTTGTGAAGCTCAATGCCCCTTTCTTGAGCGAGACGGTCGCAGCGCAGCATGCTCCTCAATGTGGAAGTGGCACGATGAGGGGGCCACTGAATGTTGGACCATGGTTACTGATCTCACGCAGAAGTTCAAGCCAATGCTTCGGCTCGGCGACGTCAATGGCAGGCTTGGAAGTCTAGCCACACAAGCAGCTGGCAATTTGAATAACCCTACTGGGGAGGACCACGATGGGAAGAGATATCGCGACGCGCTGTTAGGACGCGAAG